TAGTATTTTAACAACTGTACATATATACGATATATCTATATTTATATTATTTGATATTCATCCTTTATTATGTTTCTGTAAGCATATTGCAATTCACCTTCGGGTGCCAAAATGTGTTTCTTAATAAACCTTTAATAATAATAAAAATTAAGATTCCGACAACGAAAAACAGGTACCGACAATATGGTTGAAAGCTTGTTTTCGTATTACTTTAACTGAGCGACAAACAAAATTTACATATTTTTCACTGTTAATTAGTAGTTACGACCTTGACTACAACGTAAAAATCATATCTTTGTGTTGTAAGACAGAATCAATAACGTATAGCACCCAAACTGACTACGCAACGTTGCATGTTTGAGAGTATTTTTTATTAAGAAACTGGATGACACCTTCTAAAAGATGATGGCATAAATATGCCCCCCCTCCAAACACACTCCGCGGTCATGATGTAGCCTAGGCTCATTGTAACAAGAGCCTGTCACGCAAGCTAGTCATGATGTTGTAGAGTTATTTTGTGTTCGTAGTGATTCGTCTTCAAAAATAAGTTTAAAAAAGTTGACATAATTAAAAAAGTTAGATTTTCAAAAAAACTTTAAAAAATGTTAGATTAGGGTTAAGGGTTAGGGGTTAGTGTTAGGGGAAGGGTGCCGCGAATTTATCATATGGATAAATTCGGACGTGTTTAACAATATTTCTAATCTAATTTCTGGCTAAATCATAGCTATATACTAACACCAAAGGGTTGGCCTAACTCGTCTAGAAAGCGTCCACCACATGGTGTCTGAAACAGGAACTTGTAGTAACAACTCCTCCTAATGAAAAACATCAATTTCTAATCTACTTTTTTCCAAAGACGACAATTTCTGCTCAATCATAGCACTAACACCAAAGTATTGGCCTGACTCGTCTAGACTAGTGTCCACCACATAGCTGAATGTCTGAGGCAGGAGTTTGGAATAACAACTCCACCTATAACCACAAAATATTATTTATTCTGTGACATAACGAGAAACATGCATAAATTACATAACATGCGCGTGTCAGCTGAATATGCAGCCTGTTTAAATTTGTCTTGATTATGTTGCCCATACATGCAGTGTTAGGTTTTTACTATGTGTTGCAGTAACATGTTTTACTATGAATCACTCAATTGGTAGAACGTCAGTCTTGCTGAACTCTTCAAATCTAGTATATGTTAACTTTACGTTGAAGTTTTACTATGACAAAATTCAATTGGCAGAACGCCAGTTGGTGTTGAAGCCGGAATATACTGAGGTTCAAATCTGGCTTATGCATGTTGACAATATACTTAGTACATGTTGGGTTAAAATCATTAATAACGCTGGTTTTCCTCAATTCGAATTTATGCATGTACATGCAAATGCAGGTTGAGTCAAGTTTATGTTAAGAATACACTGTGCTGAGTTTGATCTATATGATAATGAACTATATGATAATGAATATACATGTCATCATATTCCCATCTTGCTGGAAGAATGTTTAGGTAACGCCCACACTCGAACGAACGAATCGTGACTAACTGATATAATAGCTGAACAAACATACAAAATGTTTTCAAAACTTGATCTTATTTGGGAAGGCTTCAGAGATATACGGTCCATATATTTTCTGGGTTTGTGTGAGTGGGTACGAAAAAAGTATATGGTACAAGGTCGAGAAACTCGAATTGGATAGTTTGGCGACAGTTGCATGACCACTGCTGAACCTTTTGTACATTGTCATTGCATAGTCAAGACCATTTCCCAAATGAAAAATATCAAGATATGGTCGAAGATATCACCGTTGTATCTCTGTTTTTTAAATGCATTAACCATTTAGTTGACTTTTGTTTTTACTCGCAGATACATAGCTGTAAAACACGCCAGAATAACAACTACTACCTCCCACGCCCATGCATGTACAAATTGGAGAAGTCAACAATTTATATATCACTCTGTGTCGGAATAGAACTCATTACCTGTTGAACAAAAACAATCTGCTAGTTTTCAACTCTTTCAACTAAACTAAAACATTTTATCAAATTGAGGTGAACTTTTTCAAACTACAGTTATAAGTATATGTAATTCTGAACTATATATTTGCAAAGACTTTATAATATGAGCATAGTGTAGTTTAACATATATAATATAGATAGATAGATATTGCAGGACCTCCTTGAAAAGCACTTCGCGGTGAGTGGAGCTTCTTGAATAAATATTCAATTATTAACGAGTATCGTCAAGACATTATACTTATGGACTTGTATCAGCTAGCAGTACGTTGTAAGCTTGCCGTCTTACATGCAGGGGCAGAAGAACCAGGAAGGATTCCATTGTCCCCGGCCCCGCTTCCAAACACTCTCCTCAGTCGTGATGTTGTTGTAGAGTCATTTTGTGTTCGCAGTGATTCGTTCACAATTTTGGTAAATTGTTAGCCTATAGTTGATGAACACAGTTGTGGACCATTCAAGATGGTGAATAATAATATCTTTCCACCTTGAAATATTGGATGTTGATGATATTTCAGGGTACTGAAAAATTTTCATCCAGTACGCCGCTTTAATGGCCTTTAATTGCGGTCAAAATTTTGTTGAAAAGCAAATAATAGGCCCTATAAGACGAAAACAGCAAAAGATGGTTTACAACCAATCACCATTTTGGATGGATTCAGTGCATGCATGCATGCAAGCTGCAATTTTGTTTGTCAAAATTCGTCCAAAAATGATGTTGATGACATAAGGTGAAACCAGGTAAACCAGCCCTGTTTGGCAAATATATTATATAGTAATCAATGAAAACTAAACACGTTATTGCTGGGACAATGGTTATTATTCATTCAAATTGCTTAAATACAGCCCATTTAACGACAGTAGTTATAGTACAGTAGCATAAAATACTCGTATATACTTGGCAATATTAATATACTTGTATTTAATTTCCCTGATGTGCGGTGCATTCATTTACGTTATTTTCTATCTTACATGTGTTTCTAAATGCAAAATCTACGTCATGAAAATTTAATCAAAAGTTATAAAATGTTTCAACCTCGTTAGGTGTGAATTGAATAGTGCCAGCGAGAAGATTCCTCGCCTTGTTCGTGTTGTAGGTATACCCGCTTGGTACTTGATATGTATGGCCAAGTCTTGCGTAGGAACCAGTATTTGCATTGGCAGGGACGCCGGAACGATGTGAAGGCAAGGGGGGCATATTTTCGTGAAAGGGCACTTTTGAATTGATATATACTAAGAGATGTTGGCAAAACATCGGGAGTTGAACTTCGCCTGATCATGTTTTCTATTGATTGGATGATAGGGGTGTGAGGGGTTCTCCGCCAGGCGATTGTGCTATTCTTGAAGCTCGATGACTGCATTTCTTGCGTTTTCTGAAGCAAATTCGTA